ATAAAAACACTGACAACATAGATGTGTGAATAGTAATTATAATTAGCCCTTTCTAAAAGAAAAGGTGTATGTAATAGTACATAACAGAGTAACAACTTAACTTAAATCTTCTTTCTTTTTACTCAGTAAAGCATAGAGACAATACTGTATCCCAGGTTACCATGCAACTTTTAAAAAAAGTTAATGTACATATTAAACATGGAAATTCTCCAGTAACATCTTGTCATTTCCCCCGAAATATATCTTGGTATCATTCCTTTTTTTCATTATGAACAAGGTCCTAGTACTGGTCACCTGACCCAATGCCTTACATTTCCGTAGTTGAACATTTCAGTAAGTTATGAACACAAGAATGTTGTCAGAAGTATAATGAAGTAACACACTTGCAAAGAATTGATTGTACTGCTTTACCAATGGAGAGGTCCCTACTCCAATCCACCACTCCCTCCCAACCTGAGCGCAATCATAAATACCCCCAATCATTCAGGAAGTTGTCTTATCAAGAAGCCCTGAAGCATCATCTCCCTAGGTACCTACCACATCAGCACTGAAAAAACATGAAAGCACCCGAATGCTCTAAGAGCATTACTTTTTGCATCATTTCTGAGTGTAAAATCTTCCCTAGGACACAGAGAAATACAAGTTCATAAAATAATAAAGAGACAAGATAAATTTTCTGCCTCTTCTTTCATACAATTTTTGAATCAAAACCTTCTGCCATATTAGAGATTCAAATAAAACAAACCTAAACATCTTCAAAAGATTTTCTAGTTTGTTTGTTATATTAAATGCGATTTCAATTATGTTGATATACATAGAGCTCAACTGGGCAGGGGCAGTTATACAAAGAGACTAGCTGGAACACATTTTCATATAGGTTTCACCAAGAAAATACAATAAGGGCAATTAATATCTATAAGAATTTGTCATATTTAAAAGCAATATAATTAGTAAAACGTATTTTAAGCACAGATAAAAATTAGTATACATTTTTTCATCTCTATCAACCAAAAAGAGCCCTCACTAGACATAATTATACTTTCCCCCACAATGTGTTATGTTGAACATTAACCCAGAAAATATCTTTAAAAGTGCTCTGCAGGTATCACCTTACCTCAAGGAACACAATGTAAGAAAAGGCTATTTGAATCTAAAGAACTAGTTTCAAGCAAAAATTATTAGAGAAATTCTGTATATCGCCAACGTTAGAAGTTTGGGGGAAGATAAGAGAGTATACATTTCAGTAATTTAAAATCATACGCATATTTCATTTTCCATGCAAGATGATTTAAAATATGAACACAATGTAATTGTAACTTACTGAAAATACAGTCAAGTCTTTGCCCCTAGACCAGCTGGGATCCGGCCCGTTTGAAATGAATAAAACTATTGAAAAAAAAGACCGTACCCTTTTATGTAATGATGTTTACTTTGAATTTATATTAGTTCACACAAACACTCCATCCATGCTTTTGTTCCGGCCCTCCGGTCCAGTTTAAGAACCGATTGTGGCCCTCGAGTCAAAAAGTTTGCCCACCCCTGCCCTAGACTTTACAGTTATACTCAATGAAAAAAAGAAATAGAAACAATGTATGAAAATCATAAAAGGGTGATTCAAAAACTCTGGTTTCTAAGTAGAATCTAAACAGAAGGAGGATTTTGGTGTCCACACACAATATGGCTTAAGATCTAAATGATATGTATGACTCAAAACTGCTAACCACTGAATATGAGAATTAAGAGGCTACTCTTAGAAAAGCAACCAACTTTTACTAAGGTTTTACAACACAATTTAATTTTCTGTGTGTTAAACAATTTTTAAAAACTGAAACAGAGTTGTGTTCTAGTTCCCACATTAACTAACATCAGGGTCACAAAATACTTGCATTAGGAAAGAGAAAAAATGGGTTCGCTCATGTTTCCTTAAACTGGTTTGTTGAAGGTTATGATGGGTCTTTTTAATTTCAAGGCTTTTTACTCAAATAAAGCACAATTTGAGAATCAGAAATTCTCAGGGCTGTGTCATCAGTAAGCCAAGCACACACCCACAATTATTAGAGGACTTACAAATCAACACGAATCACTGTTAGGCACTTGAGTACAGGCTATGGGGATTTTCTACCAAAAAACTACCTAGCAGGCAAGACCATAAAGATTGAAGCTTTAGCTTTTAGAACATACAGGGCTAGACAATTGACAAGAAATACTGCATAATTAACCCATCTGTATCCTGGTACAATTTCTTTACAATCCCACACACAATTTTAGGGTTTAATAGAAGCGGTTACTTTTTAGCATCCAAAGTTTTAAAATGGTCTTTCTTTACTTCACTATGAGGATCTTAAAATTATCACACATCCTTTGAGGGAGCATGATACTGAAGTTTTATTTTTGTATAAGTAGAACTTGAAAAAAGTGTTTTCTATATTATGTCTGTATCTACACAGAGTCAGCACATGACAGTTGATGATTTTTATATCTTTTAAAGCCCATTTCAACAGGTTTATTTTGTAAAGATAAATTTCTCATTACTAATTCCTTTAGGCAACTAATGTTTATCTTTTTTAAGTAAACACGAGGAAAAAAACGGAATGTGGCCTGTGGTTTTATGGATGTAAAGATGTCTTCAGGTTAAACACTATCCATAAATTTGGCTTGACATATTTTCCCAACTGAAACTATTTGTACTGGTACTCTCCAAAATGGAACCCATTTTTGGTAATGGGAAGACAATATTCATATCATGTAATCTTTTCCATATCTAACTTTTTAGGTCAAGGAGCTGGCAGAGTCAGAAAGATAGTTCTCTTTTTTTTTTTTTTTTTTTTTTTTTTTTAGAAAGATAGTTCTCTTATCTTTCTGAATCTACTTTTCAGCATGTGAAGCTAAAATTAAGAAGCATTAAAATGTTAAATACGGTATATTTTTAAAAACTCTACTATGGCATTTGTATGCTGAATACACAGCAAGCCAGTATTGCTCTGACAATACTGACAAGTCTGACAATACTCTCTAATGAGCAAAGACCAATCTATGAATCAAGCCAGTTGTGAGAGGATAGCAAAGAACTAGAGAACCTACTTAGACACTAGTGGTTTGGGGAACAATGGATACAGGGAAGTTTAGAATACCTCCAGGACAGATAACATATCTTCATTGTTGGTGAATCAAGATACAGGAGAGCAAGGGATGGCTGAGTTGTGGGAAAGCTGATCCTGAAGCAAGAAGTTCCAGATTATATTTAGACAGTGGGAGGGATCAAAGTTAAGTCATGCAAAGAAACCTGTCCCTACCCAGCTGTGGAAGATGGATCGATGCCAAAATACAACTGGGCAACTGAGAGACAATGACCCCAAAGCCCATAGATAATCTGGGATGTGCTGCTGTCCCCTATATACAAAGCAGAACGCATTACAGATATATTCCCAAAAACGCCTGCAGAGAAAACTAGAAAATTGTCTAGTTTTTCTATTTACACTAATATAAACAGATTTCGAGGTTGTCTGTACTGTATGTGGTTGCTGTAGTCACAGCAATAAATGTAAAGTGCCTGTAACAGAGGGTATAATAGAATCCCACCTCTAGGCATCTTAATACTATACACTCAGACAAAAAGTGAAAAGAATATCTCAGGGACTTCCTGACTCTCCTCTGTGATATCAATGTAACTACCTACGAGGCACTTTTTAAAGACCAGAAACTCTTCTATTGCGTGCTACACTTCTAAAAATCACTTTACCTGCATTAAAAATGCCAATCAACAGTGCTAAAGCTGACTGGCATTTTTTATTCTTAAGGCAAAATGTCATGTTCCCTACCAACTTCCCCCTGGTCCTCTAATTACCTGCCTTCATTGTATTCTTTGCCCATTGTGAGAGCCAAAGAAGATACAACTGAAAATTTCAAACAACTCAATATACTGTGTAAGGTATATTTTATAAATGCTAGTATGGCAAAATTTAACTTATTTAAATGCTTATACCATATGGCTACTGTACCAAGATATCAAGAGAAGTCATATGACTTTCAAAATTAGTAGCAAACATGGGATATTTAAATCCAGCCACATGTACTGAGGTATGAAGCTTTGTTCTTTTCAAAGTTGAGCACAAAATAAAATGTTTGATTATAGCCAAGAGTAGCGTATTAAAACCAAAAGCAGTGCCCTTTGCTTAAGTCCACTTAAACTACATATAAACTGCCAATATGCTCTCCATCTTAGAATTAACACTGTTAAAATGATTTTGATTCATTTTCATACATGAATTTTAATTTTGGTTTTATGCACAAGTATATAGGTAACACATTTCCAATGCTTAGCCTAGAATAGTATAACATAACAAAAAATCATGTTTTGCAAATGTGGTATAAGATTTCATGCATTCTCATGATGCCATGTCAATAATCTATTACGCTAAACCATCTGCAACAATGTAGTGTACGCTTTAAACACCCCATTAGAATAAATTTTAGCCAACACCTTGATGACAAGGGAATGTGCTGGTATATTGTTGAACTGATGTTGCTGCAATCCAAGAGAGTGAACGTGGTTTTTCACATTAAAAAATAAAAAGGATAGCCCTAGCTCAGTGGATGGAGCGTCAGCCAGCGGACTGAAGGGTCCCGAGTTCGGTTCCGATCAAGGGCAGGTACTTGGTTGTAGGTTCCTCCCCAGTCCAGGCCCTGGTCAGGGCCCAGGCAGGAGGCAACCAATCAATGTGTTTCTCTTACACTGATGGTTCTCTCTGTCTTTCCCTCTCCTACTCTCCCTAAAAATCAATGGAAAAATATCCTTGGGGGAGAATTAACAAAAAACAAACAAAAAAATAAAAAATAAAAAAGGATAAAAGGTGTGGATTTGTTGGGCTACTGTATAGAATATTTTTCTCTGATGAAACTGCAATACCTACAATATATATTTGGGTTTTAAAGGAGTTTTTAATATATAACAAGTAATTCCTTATAGTTATTTGAAAAAAGTATGAGAACATATGAACAAATAAAGCTTAGTAATTTAGAATTTACTTTTGTAAAAGTTGACAAATAATAAAATATTATACTTGCATTTTGAACATTATAATATAAATATAAAACACAAAACATTCAACATTAAACACTGATCATCTCCTATGCCCAAGTTGAACTTAGATAGTGAGCATTTTAATTTTGTAGAAAGGAACTTCTAAAGTTTTGTCAATGCTTACAGTATATACTTTTATCCCTCATCAAAATCTTCACAAAATCTAAAAGGCTGGTATTAAAAGGAATTATTTTTTTCTTGAATATTCTAAAACATGCCAGCTTGGATTACTGTTCAGATTTTCAGGGACTGCATATTCAAGAATATATCTGAACACATTTAGTTAGGTAAGTGTTTACAGTTACAACAGAAATACTTGTGACTTTTCAGATATTGAAAAAAAAACAAAAACCTACACGAACATAGAAGGTGTTTTGGGGCAAGTTATTTCTTAGAAAAAATAATGCATTATGTTGATCAATTTTTAAAACAAATTCTTAAATTTTATACTTGCCAAGCGATACATTCATGTGTTATAAGAAGATAAAAGAAAACATAGAAATAAAAAATCTCAAACTATTTCAAAAGTTAAGAATTAAAAATGTTCAAATGAATAATTTATCTTTGTTGCTTGGAAAATATGCTTTAATTTTCATTTCAAATTCACTTTAAATGCTTGACAAATAATTTAATACTTAAGAAGAATCTAGCTAAATTATTTGATAATATTTATAAGGTGACACTTCTCTGGATAGACATTTCACACAACAGTTTTCCATTAATGCTGAAAATCAGTGGGTAATTTTAATCACAGTTAATAATTGATTAATGGATTAACAATTTACTCAGTAATTTAGATGGCATACGGTCTCATAAAGGGAACAATCAGATAACTGCTCAATGTGCAATTGTGCCCATTAGTAATTCTAAGAACTTGATAGATATTCCACTCATTGGATTACATGTTTGTATGTATGTGATTTGAAGAACAGCAAAACATAGGTATCCAATGTCAAACTTTTTTTCTTTCTTTTTTTAAAGAGCAGCTCAATGATTTTGGGGGTTGATTAGTACAATGCAGAGAGCATAGGGGGAAAGTACAAATTGGCACTTAAACCAATGCCAGTATTCATTCCATTATTGTTATACTTAAGAATATTATTAATTTTTGTTATTCACTTTTCTTTAGAACATAAATCAAAGCCATTAACTTGAGGTTGAGGTATATACACAATACATACACAAATGCAAAATACTTTTCATTAGTAACATTACATTTTAAAATACCAGAAACTGAGTATCTGTGCTGATTTATATTTTGACTTAATGGAACAAAAAGAGAACATTCAACAAAAGAGGGTTATACTGATAATAAAGCTCTTAAAGTTTTAAAAAATGTCTTCCTCTCCTTTTGTACTTACCACAGGCTACACAATGTCTTGAGAGGATTCATTAGGAGAAAAATGTCAATCACAGCTTTAAGACCTGGCTTTGGAAGAAACTAACGAGAAAGCAATTGGAAGGTGAGGCTTCATCTTCGTTTTCAAATAAGTGGTCTTAATTTTTCTTCTTATAGAAAAAGTTTAAATCAGTTTACTATAAATATATCCGAACCATTAATTTTTGGAGCTTTCAGGTAAAGTCCAGCACTTCGTTTATATAAAGTCTATGAGAAGAAGTCAGTAGAGATCATCTAAGTTTAAGTCGTGACATCATCCATTCCAGTCCTTGGCATAATCTATACAGAAAATAAAATAATCTGATCAAATTCTCAACTAAGAAGCTATAAATAGCAAGCTAAAACAAGGTGTCATTTTTTCATTTACCTAAACAACCAAGGTTAAAAAATCAATACTGTTCCATGTCTGTGCTGTTGTGGTGAAGCCATACTCTCAAGACACAGTACATCTGTGCTTTCTCATTTGTTTTGTTTCTAGTGCCTAGAACACTGCCTGACATATAAAAGCTCAGTGATTATATAAATGCCCATGGAAAGTAATTTAGCTATACATATTCAAGAGTATTTAAAATATCAATACCCTCTCTATCCCCTTTTCTATTTCAAGAAATACATCCTAAAAAAATAAGACATAAAGACAGATTTATCAAAACATTTTTAATAGGAAAAAGAATTTAAATGTCTAGAAATAGAGAAAAATTTAACAAATTATGGACCATTCATATGATGAAATATTAAAAACTTCCTTTCAAAAACTACTTTACAATATGATAAAATGCTCATTATTTAAATGAAGTAAAATTGCAGGACATTAAATATATAGTAGAGCTGTTAAAACACAGTACATACATAATATGTCTGCTACATCTATATATTTACGTTTTTTGAAGGAAGTAAAATCTCTTATCACTAACACCAGTTATCACTGAATAAAGGGTAACAAAATACTATAAAGAGATGTTCATTGTGGTAAAGAAAATGTTTAGCAAGAGAAAAATGATTGTACATATGTTACAACAAAATAAACTGTTATGAAGCATTAACCATTGTCTATCAGAAGCTTTTACAGACATGAGAAACTGAAAACTCAGATTTTTGTGTAAGTATGAGTCGAACAATATAAAAGAAGATAGAAATAGAAAAAAAAGGCAATGAGGTAAATAAATGATTGCTTCAGTGTTGGCCCAGACTGTGCTAAGCACTTAATATCCATTATCTTAATATTTCTTTACAACAGTGAGATCAGAACCCTTCCCATATTAGAGGAAACCTGGGCTTGTAGAGGTTAGCAAATGGCAGAGATGAGAGTCAAGTCTGACCAACACTAAAACCAAAAATTCAGACCAAGGCAGCCAGACCACAATAGGGAAACATCTCTTCCAAAACCAAACACTTCCACTTGCTGACTGCTGCAAATGGAGGCCCTCATACACCAAGAATTGAAAAGATACCACCAGCTACCTAGTTCCTCTTTCAGAAATGAATCTGCCAGAGTTCATATCCATCCTAACTAATGATATATTTTCTACACAATTTCTCAAAGTATATAAGCTAAGTATTATATAATTCCTAGACGATTTGTCTTTGTGGTCAAATTTAGTATTACATTAGTGCTTTTGCTTAAAGTCCTTCCATAGAAAAAGATATATCTACAGGTATCTTGGCATGTACTAAACTATTTGACAGAAACATGTAACATTTTTACTTAAATGAGTATGTGGAGAGTTGGTATTATCTATGAATTTTTCTTTAAATGAACAGATTTGATTTTTTGAGGTTCTAATTAAGCTCTCTAAATGTCTGTAATTAGATAACAGTGCCTTCTATTTCACTAAGATTCAACTTCATCTCCAATTTAATTATTTTTCTTTGTTTTTAAAAGGTACATACATAACAGATTCTAAAGAGAGGTCTTAATTTGGGGTTGAGGTCTTCTTCTGGTATTAGGAAAGGGCAGAAGCTTGGGGCATAAATAGATGAATTAGCTGAAGTGGGAGAAATTCCCTTCCTTTCAAAACCATGATGATAGTTAAAGCCATATAATGACTTATTGAAACTACCTGTGCCCCAAGCTTCTACGCTTTCCAAACAGCTGAAGAATCACAACTTGAAGAACCCAAATTTAAGACTCTAGAATCCTTCATCTTGAATTTAATTATTTTTTTTCTCTGCTTTTAAATGTATATAGATCTACCACATTTTAGAAAAACAACTACAACAAAAGTATTATTTTGTTTGCTCAGCCTTTTAGCCTTTTATCCTATTTCTAATCTCCTCTATTCCATCTCTCCTAACAGGACTCTCCATCTTTCTGGTCATTGACATTATATTTAACAATGCTGACAACCACTTCATTTTTGAAATCCTCTCACCTCTGGGCATTAGACTAGGGCAAAATTCTACTATAGGCACCCACCCTCCTTTCCAGAACCAGGAACCCTCGTGCCACACTCTCTCTAATTCTAACATTTTTTTTTTTTTAATTGCAACAACTCCCTCTTGACAACAGTGGTGGCAAAAGTGAATACATCCAAACTAGTTTAGTTCAACTTCTTTATGCATAAAGTGTGAATTTAAAACAACTGGTCTACATGACTGTTAGGAATAAATGATACACTGGAAGGAACACTCAAGACATAGAACAGGCTCAGCAAGTGTTAGTTCCTTTCTTATAGCGAAAGTCCCACCACCAATAAGAACTGTTTCCCGACTTGTCCAGATCCCCTTGACATTCTAATGTCTCTGAACTCCTACAGCAATTGTAACTATGTGCACATATTAGTTCAGTATGCGTATGTGTATGCTGTGCTTTATTCTTTACAGGACCAAGTTAAAAACTCACTGTAGACACTGACTATGTCTTACATTTCTTCCTTAGAACAATCTGTACATGGTAACCTTAAAATTGGGTTTTAGGAAGAAATTCATATTCCTAAACTAAAGACACATTATCCATGGGGAAGACTTCTTACCCCTCGCCAGTGAGAGCACAGCATGCCTGGATATGCCACTGGTGATCTTTAATAGAAGTTAGTTTCAAAAACTGGGAGATTTCTGCTACAGTCATGCATTCTTTAACATCTTGTTTATTAGCAAAAATCAGCAATCCAGCTTTCCTTAGATCCTATAAAAGCAAATAAAACGATAAGGGCCAATGCATTTTTTTCAGAGATTTTCTAACTTAATGAATAGAATATTTTTTTGGTAATCTCTGTAACCTAGAATTTCTCAACTACTTGATATAAAAGCATTTCATAGCTCTTATACTGATGGAAGGTAAACTTAAAACTGAACACATTTTAAATAAATCTATCTATACTTGTATGGATTTATATATTTCTTATAGTCCCAGATTACATTTATGGTCCTAAGTGCTATATTTACCAAGCAGCCATGTCTTCAAATATATAATTACCCATTTCCCCCAATCTCAAACTAGGCTTCTATGGCCACTAAGAACTACGTTTTACCATGGTACTCATGAGCTTTTAAAAATTCTACCTCAACCTAGTACCTTCTAGGTACATAGGAAATAAACTCATTCATTATGTACAACGTATGCCTTGGACTGTAGGGTTGGGGAACGTCTGGCCCACAAAATCATTTGGTCTGGCCGTGCCAAGGCATTAGGGAGGGGTGAGTTATTTAAATGTTTGACCAAATACAGCAGGTTTTTTAAAAAAAAGATCTTTTTATTGATTTTTAGAGGGAGAGAGAGAGAGAAACTGATGTGAGAGCAATTGGCCACCTCTGGGGTTCAAGCCTGCCACCCAGGCATGTGCCCTGACTGGGAATGGAACTGGCAACCTTTCTGTGCATGGGATGACACCCAACCACCCGAGCCACACTGGAGCAGGCTAATTTTTAAGTTGATAATTTTGTACGCCCTGCAAATGATGTTATAAATATCCAATTGGCCCTTGGAAGAAAAAGGTTCCCACCCCTGCCTTAGAGACTTAGGGCTTCATTCTCAGTTGAATGGTGCTATCCTAAACCACCCCTATCCTTTTCGGAGACCTAGCTCCTCTATCTTTGTCCATGATGATTTCTTAGATTTGAATATTTGATATGGCCATCTTGGATTGGCATTAAACTTATAAACTAAGTTCTACCACTTCAATTTTTTGATTCTGAGGAAAGTTTTTTAACCTTTCTGAATTTGTTCCTCATTACCAACATTTATTGAATATCTAACTTGAGCAAGCCACCTATCATACTAATCTTTTTCTAAATAAAAACTCCTTAATCCTCACAAGATTGCTATAAGGTAGGCTTTACCAGTCCCATTTTACAGATGAGGACAGATGTAAGTAACTCAGACAAGGTCATATAGCTACTCAATGATAGGACCCAGTTTTAGCCTAGATCTTCCTATTGTAGCTACTGCCCCTCATCTGTAAAATGCTGAGACTACTACCTAACTCTTAGGGATGTGGTTTTAATTAACGAATAAAGTATTACATTTAAACTACTCAGTTCAGTACCTGGCCTTTGGTGACAGTTCAACAAATGTTAGTTCATTTATTGCCCCCAAAATAATAATTACCTTACCCGTGTGCATGCCCCAAAGTGATTGGTATGCTTTACTCACAACACAGACCAGGGTTCTTGGCCTCCTTTGACTTACTCCACTCTTCCCTCTTGCAACCATTTTTACAGTCTGGGACTTCCCTGATAATCTACTGACGATTTTAATAGACCTCTTCTTCATAAAAATGCACATTTGTATATATGCAAAAAAAAGTATATGTATAATTTTAAAGTGTTAATAGATACTCTAAAATCCATTTATAGATCATGAACTAAGAACCAATGATGGATACACTCCATGGATTAAACTCTCATAACATTCTTCCTATATATATGAAGAGATACTGTGGTCTGGTTGCTACGCTTGCAAGTTTTCTCAACTATGTTGAATGCCATCTTTCTTCTTAGGGATTTTAGTGGGATATTTTGTTTTCAATCATGTGTATATGTGCTTGAAGCAGGAAAGTCTTCAATGGGTACAAGCTGACATTGCTCCACATTATTTTACTCTTGTTAAAATAGTTTCATTGGCTTCTTTGATTCTTTCTGATGTAAATAAAAAATGTAAGGAGTAAGAGGACTTAGGCAAAAGGTTTTATATAACAACGGAGACTGACTTTAGTTACAGTGCCCTCTGCAGGTTGGCAGCTATCGTAACACAGTTAATGAGTTACCTGAAGAGCATGGTCAGAAAAGGATACTAGAATGTTAACTTTTAAGATTTCTCATTCAATTTGTTTCATCTATAGTTCAGTTTACCTGTTTATATAATAAAAGGCAAAAATCTGAATGGATGGACTATATATATATATCTCTCTATATATATGTTTATATATATATATATATATGTAGATATATATATATATACACACACACACATATATTCATTATCAAGGATACAGATATTTTTTTTCTCTTATCTTAAATAGAAATGGAACAGCATCAATAGTTGATATGTGGCTGAATCACTGAGTAGATGGACTTTCCATGGATTTAATTCCTATCTTCCTATCTTCCAGGTTTCAATATCTCTTGCTAGTGTCTGTTGAAACCTTTTATATAGGTCAGGATTGGTAATGCTGGCACATTCTAAGAACAAAATTTTGACAACAGAAATAACTTGGCACAATTTAGGAAACATAAATTTATACTACCTTACTTATAGGTAATCTATATTCCTCACTTCTAGTGATTAAATTATTTGGAGAAGCCCCTGGACTACAATTTGAAAGGGTAAGAAATAAAGCCTTTTATTGAAAGGTCTCAAAAACACACTGAAAAACCCCATATTGAATATAATTTTTCTAGATCTTAGAGGCTCAAATTTTTTTATTTGGGGTTCTTAATTAAAAAAACAACAGCAGCTATATTACCTATTTTTAAATACTTAGGAAGAGAGCAAAGAAAATAGTCCTTTACTTTTTATTATTCAGCACCAATTATGCCTTATGATAACAGTAAAAAGTTATATAGGATTAAGGCTGTTCATCAACTTGACTTAACAAGAGGTCAAAGTACAAGGTGAACAGCTGTGATCTTTTATTCATCAGCCATTTTAAACACTTTAAAAAATTTCTGCTACATATTACAGATTTCTGGTCCTAAGAGTCTAAAAACTGATGTCAGTTTAGTCAAGAAGATGAGTAATAGCACATGCAAGATATATTTACTTAGCATCTTCTATATGCCATATGTAGTTGTCAATTTTTTCCTCAAAACTTCATTTGTGAAGATAATTCCTAGAAGTTGAGTCATTCTGAATAAAATTTCATCTGTCCTTTTGTATTTGGAACTATTTTAAAATTCATGAGCTTCTAAGTTTTGCACTTCATTTAAGATGAAGCTTTCGGTAATACAGAAAAACATTTTACAGCTCTGTATTTAGTAATGCATGTAAAGAATCATTATCAGTGATGGTGATAAAATCCTGTTGGTGATGGTGGTATGAAACATCTGACTAACCCCATTGAAAATTTGTTTTTCATTAATACATCTTATTCTTTGATCGATTTGTTCCCCTCCAGAACTCTATTTGGACCCTTTTAAGTGACTTACTCTAGTTCTCAATTTCATCTGCAATTCCTTTCTTTTCTGGTAATCTCCCCATTCAGTTTCCTTTCATTTTCCAACTATGCCCTATTTGTCCCCCACTCCCCTCACTCCCCACCCTCAGCAAGAGCAAGAATGATGAAAATGCCTAAATTCAAAGCCTGGCTCTTAAAAAGCTGGTTAGGTCATGTATTGACCTGCCCACGTTAATGGCCAATAAGTAAAATTCAGTGACTTTGTTTGAGCGCTACTACTTTCTATACTGATTCTGCTTACATAACTGGCCAATCAGAGTAAGAATCAAATAGGGCCCTCTCCGGTTTGGCTCAGTGAATAGAGCGTCAGCCTGCGGACTCAAGGGTCCCAGGTTCGATTCCAGTCAAGGGCATGTACCTTGGTTGCGGGCACATCCCCGGTGGGGAGTGTGCAGGAGGCAGCTGGTCGATGTTTCTAACTCTCTATCCCTCTCCCTTCCTCTCTGTAAGAAATCAAGAATCAAATAGGGAGGCTGCCTGTTAACAGGGTAAAAAATTGAGCTAAGACAAATATGTGTGTCTTAGTTTTCTTTTTCCAAAGTCTTCATAGAACATAAAACAACTCTTTGGTATAAACTGAAAAAACATATTTTTGTAAAATACAAAGGAGAAATGAAAAAACTCCTTAGTGTTCTGCCTCTTTTATAGATTGTTTCACAAAGTAGAATCGCAACTTGTTAAGTGCACGCACAAAAGCAAGATGCATTTTTAAAAAAACCAAAAACTCAAGGGATTTAACACAGCTGCTCGAATCAGTCTAAAACAGGGGAAAGTGCATCTTGGTGGGCATGATCACAAGGAAAACAGGAAGCTCAACTTACATAACAACTTTACTAGCTTTCTTAAGTCTTGAACAGTTGCCTGAAACATACCAAAATTCTTAATGCAAATCATCAAATCAATATTCAAATACAAAACTGTTATAAAGATATCCCAGATTTTTAAGCTTTATTAAAATTCCACTAAAATTATATAACACACATCTAAATATTCACTTTCCTATTCCCATCTATAAATAAATTTATTTTTCCATCTGCAATAAAAATCATAAAAATATAATCAATTGCCACTATAGTAAATATTATGTGGTTTTATAGTTACTATTATCATTACTGACTATATTATTCAGTTTATTCAATTTTTAAATTATGCTACCAGTAATATTTCTCAAGGACTTCGAAATGTGGAGAGTCATATAGTTTGTTTAGTCAAAGGACAATATCGGAGAAACCTAAGAGCAACCATATTTAAATATTAGTCTAACAACTGAGTTACAATCAAGACTTGCTATGTGTCTGTGAGACTTTAAAATTTCATTTCTGTATAATTAATTTATTCAAAATGTAAAAGGAAAGCCAATTTAGGTCTTTTTTACTCAGGAAAACTTCTACACCAAATTTACCTGGGATACGTGAAATAAGATTCTACAAATGACTCCACATTCTTTTTGCTGCTTTCAGATACACTTCCGATTTGAGAAGTGTCAAAATTATAAAGCAGGCATGGCGAGCAGATAAATAACTTTTTTTTTTTTTTAAATAGTATCCCCTGAAAAGTAGAAAGAAGAAATGTGACAGAAATATCCCATAGACATATCTTATGCCAGAGTCCTACTTACCTCATGGGCTAACATCTTATAGAGTTCTTCTCTAGTTACCGAAATCCTTTCTCTGTCTGTACTGTCCACAACAACTATTACAAACTAAAAGAATTACAAAAATGTCATTAATGGTTATGTAATTGTATATATTGTAAAATTTATGAAGTGCTGATTTGATTTACAGGCTATAACTATCAAGAAATTAGAACCTTATGGTGTGGTATTATTGGAAAACCAGAGATACCTACTATATATACATCATAAAACCTAAAGGTCTGATCCATTTCGAATTCAAATATATTTACTAAATTTTAAGAGAAAAATAGGAGAAAAGAGAACACATACTAACATACTATCAGAATATTCTGCTAATATTTTAACCAATAAAACACATTTGTTTCCTAACTTAATATTTTGAATGCTAACAAGACTATATCCATCTATTTACACTATAAGTCAAGAAAAAATATATTACAGTCATAAACTTAAGTTACTTCTAGACAGTTTTTATTTTATTTATAAAATTATTTAAAATATTTGAAATATCAATTTGAAAATCCAAAAGGGAATGGGTTTGGGAGTAAAGTAACATGACAGTTAAAATCAACAAATTGCAAGAACAAATCTACAGCTAAAGCCATGCTCTCTTCCTTATATAAATGGTACCTGCTACTGGCACGCACAGCTCTCTCCTGAACTGGTAAGACTAGTATCAGAAGATGCAATGAAAAACCTGTGAAGGAGCTGTACAGGACTGCACTACACCGCACCTCTTCCTAATGCCATGCCCACCAAAAGGGAAACAGAAGCATATATAGTCACTTTATGATGGCATTTGTGATGCCCGAGTTAATTCTGACTGCCTATTATTAACATGCACTATTCATTTTTTAGAACTAGCCTTTCATTTCCAAATAAACCACTGTAATTTTCAGAATCTTTTCTATTCTACAGATTCCAGGAACCATAATGATAAGAGAACTACTATTTTACCTCTTCTCTTACTTGAAACCTCACTGATAAGTGGTTTTATTACTGCCAGACTCATTCTATCCCAAGGTACTTTAATAAAGCTATTAATTTTCAAAGTGTTCCATGAATTTGATACCTGCAGCATTATATTTAGGAACAGTAACCATATCTACCTTTCTTTCTCCAAAAAAAACAAAAACAAAATACGTGATCAAATGCATTATGGAGTGTTAGGGGACCAGGTCATTAGAAACACTTAATTGTGTCTAATGACATTACTCACCTTTGCATACATTTGGAATTTTATTAACTTATAATCAGCACTGTAAAAGCAACTGTCACAGGCTTTCAATTTGCAAGGTCTATACAATGAAGGTCTGAAATGTCACTGGTGTGACATTTCCTCTTGGCAAAAAAAAACATGGTTTTGTCTAAATTGCTTGAGAACCAAAAGGAAAAAAATTCTTTAATGTGCAATTGTGTTGCATAAAATAAAATACATGGTAAAATTTTGGCCAGGACTGAAACCACCAGATTTTACCTAGTTTTCTTCTACACAAAAATAAATAGTAAAAAAGAAATGATATTACAAACTGTGAGATGGAATTCATTATAAAAACAACTACTTAAGTTCTGGGATCAATACATAATCAGACTAATCAACTACCAATTCTCCTTACAGAGGTTCAATGAGAGTGGATATACAAGATAATGACCCTGAAATAGGGAATCAAAGATTCTACGATGTTTAAAAATCTACTTCTATTAACATACTGTGATATTTCGGAAAGATTAACTATAAGAGTTCATATCTAGAAGGTGTTTCCCAAGCGTTCTGCTCATAGACGTTCTAATATATTAAGAAACATCAGGAAGAGGTCAATGGGGGGGTGGGGGGGGGGGGAAGAGTCATATGTAATACTTTAAACAATAAAGAATTTAAATTAAAAAAAAAAAAAGAAAGAAACATTACCTCTGTGTTAGTATAGTAAGTGTTCCAGGAAGAACGAAGAGATTCTTGGCCACCAATATCCCACATTAGAAATCGTGTATTATTAATCACTATCTCTTCTACATTACTTCCTATTGTAGGGGATGTATGTACAACTTCATTCATAGAACTGAAAAAAAAATAATTCGAAAATGTTACAATTAGCTAGGAAGTTAGATTGTTTGAATATTTTTCAATCAAGGGAGCAGTCAGTATGACTTCCTTTTATATATTATACCCAAATGTCCCTTTTCCAGTAGCTCATAAGAGTGAGCTAAGGGTTTAAACAGAGGGGGAACTAGGTAGTGGACTATCTGAGATACTCTAAATTCAATTCTAGGAAACTACATAAACACATATTTCTCTACTTTCTAAAAGCAAAACAACCAATGTCATAAAAGTATCAACTCTTTAGAGTAGGGGTGGGGAACGTCTGGCCCACAGGTCCTATAAGGCCCATGAAATCATTTGCTCTTGCCCTGCCAAGGCATTAGGATGAGTTAATTATTGACCAAATATAGCAAGCTAATCTTTAAGTTGATAATTTTATACGCACCTCAAATGATGCTATAAATATCCAAATGGCCCCTGACAGAAAAACGGTTCCCCATCTCTACTCTAGAGTAACTTAAATTCCATATAACTTTTATTGCTTTCATTAATCAAATATCACTCAGGCAGAAAAAGTAACTATCCTATATAATAAACTAGAGGCCCAATGCACAAAATTCATGCATGGGGGGGGGGGAGAATGGAGGGGTGTCCTTCAGCCAGGCCTGCGCCCTTTCTCGCAATCTGGGACCCCTCGCTCCTAACCACCTGCCTGCTTGCTCCTAACCACCCACCTGCTTGCTCCTTACTGCTTGGCTCGCCACTCCTTAGCACTGCCGCTGCGCTTGCCAGCCAGATGTGACCCTAGCTTCTGGCTGAGCGGCGCTCCTGCTGTGGGAGTATACTGACCACCAAGAGGCAGCTCCTGCATTGAGCATCTGCCCTAGTGGTCAGTGTGCGTCATAGTGACTCGTCGTTCTGGTCGTTCCACCGTAATGGTCACTGGGCTTTTATTATATAGTAGACTAATATGCAAATTGTCTCCTTGGGAGGGTGACCAACCAGGAATTCGACCACTCGCTATGACGTGCCCTGACCACCAGGGGGCGGTTCAGAACAAAGGAAGGCCCTGGCCAGCAGCCAGCAGCCAGGGGAAGGAAGGCCCTGATTGGCCCTGATTGCTGGCCAGGCCTAAGGACCCTACCCATGCATGAATTTCGTGCACCAGGCCTCTAGTAAACAATAAATAAAAATGTGAAAGTAGTTATTACTTACAATTGGTAAAGGATGGTAGTTTTCCCTGCATTATCCAGCCCAACAATGATAACTTTGTGCTCTGAAATAAACGAGACACCAGTGATTTATTAATGAAAAACAAAATTTTTAAATATCCTATTTCATCCATTCTTTCCAGTTATGGTATAACTCAGTGCATTGCACCTTAACCTTTAACTCAAAAGACCAGCAGAAGTGAGCCATTGTCTCGCCTTCCCCACCACTTCTGTGGAGCAGTCTGAAATCTCTTTAGAGGGCATCCCAACAGGACTCTGTGATCCAGAAATCTTCCACCTCTTCATCCTGCCTGAACACCTACAAGCCACAATTATTACCAACTTTACTCCCTCCCAAGACTTGTCTCCATTTGAGTTTTCACAATAAAGCACAAATGGCTGTTTTTGACAGCTTCCTAATTTTAACATATGTCACGTGGGTCATGGTGAGAACCATAAAATTAAGACATAATTGTAAAATGGACTCAAAGATAAAGGTACCAATTCAATGGTAAAAAAAAGTCCATTTATTCCCAAAAGTAGGGTTAGATTATTCACACTTTTTAATACAGGTATACCTCAAAATATTATGGTTTCTGTTCTAGACCACCACAATAAAGTGAATATTGCAATGAAATGACTCAAATAATGTTTTGGTTTTCCAGTGGATATAAAAGTTATTTTTATACTACACTATAGTCTACCAAGTATACAACAGCATTATGTCTAAAAAACAATGTACATTACAAAAAACTATACTGATAAAAATACTAACCATCATCTGAGCCTTCCGCGAGTAGTAACCTTTTTGCTTGCCTTAATTTTGATGGCTGCTGACTGATCAGGGTAGTGGTTGCTGAAGGTTGGGGTGGCTGTGGCAATTTCTTAAAAAAAGACAATGAAGTTTGCCACATGGATTGACCCTTTCATGAACAATTTCTTTGTGATATGCGATGCTGCTGGGTAGCATTTTACACAAAGACCTGTCAAAATTGGAGTCAATCCTCTCAAACCCTGCCTTGACTTTATCAACTATCCTATCTAATAAAAGAGAAACATGGTAATTAGCCATACATCCGCTACCCTTCCTATTGGCTAATCAGGGTGATATGCAAATTAACTGCCAGCCAAGATGGCGGCCAGCAGCCAGGCAGCTTGAAGCGAAAATGAGGCTTGCTTGCTTCAGTGACGGAGGATTCCAACATTCCCTGCCTGCTGCTGCCGGCCTCTGAGCTTGCAGTTTGAAACATTGTTACAAATATAGAAGCTAAACAAAACCCCAGAAACCTGCTTTCAGCCAGCCGGGATCTCAGAGCTGGAGTTGAAACAGTGTTTCGATTATAGAACCCAAACAAACCAGATACCTGCTTTCAGCAGCAGAGGCCTAAGAGCTGGAGCCAAGCCTCAGAGCTAAAGCTGGCCCAGAATAAAAAAAAAAAAGAAAAAAAGGGGCGGTTGGGAGCTTCAGTCACCCGCCAGCCTGAAAACAGCCCTCAGCCCCTCACACAGACTGGCCAGGCACCCCAGTGGGGACCCCCACCCTGATCCAGGATACCCTTCAGGGCAAACCAGCCGGCCCCCACCCATGCACCAGGCCTCTATCCTATATAGTAAAAGGGTAATATGCCTCCCAGCACCAAGATCAGCGGAGCCACGAGGCCTTCTGGCACTGGGATCAGCGTGACAGGGGGCAGTGCCCAAACCCACTGATCGCCCTGCGGCTCTGTGTGTGACAGAGGGCGGGGCCACAACCTCCCTATCCGCCCTGCTCTGTTCGTGACAGGAGAAGGCGCCCCAACCGCCTGATCAGCCCTGCTCTGTGCCTATAGGGGGGAGCTCCCCAACCCCCTGATCGCCCTGCGGCTCTGTGTGTGACAGGGTGCGGTGCCCCAACCCCCCCTCCCCCCCACGGGCCCTGCTCTGTGTGTGACAGGGTAGAGCCATAACCTCCCCATCAGCCCTGCCATGAGTGTGACAGGGTGCGGCACCCCAACCCCCTGATCGGTCCTGCTCTGTGGGTGATAGAGGGCGGCGCCCCAACCCCCGCCCCCCCCTACACACACAGGCCCTGCTCTGTGTGTGACGGGGTAGAGCAATAACCTCCCCATTGGCCCTGCCCTGAGTGTGACAGGGTGAGACGCCCCAACCCCCTGATCTGCCCTGCTCTGTGTGTGACAGGGGGCGGTGCCCCAACTCCCCTATCGGCCCTACTCTGTGAGTGACAGGGGGGAGCTCCTCAACCCCCTGATCGGCCCTGCTCTGTGCATGACAGGGGGGAGCTCTCCAACCCCCTGATCGGCCCTGCTCTGTGGGTGACAGGGCATGGAGCCCCAACCCCCCTGATGGGCCCTGCTCTGTGTGTGACAGGGGGCAGCACCCCAACCCCCTGATCAGCTGGCTCTGTATGTGACAGGGGTGGCGCCACAACCCCCTGATCCGCCCTGCTCTGTGCGTGACAGGTGGTGGCGCCGCAACCTCCCCATAGACCCTGCCTTGAGTGTGACAGGGGGTGGTGCCCCAACCCCCCAATCGGCCCTACCCTGAGCGTGACTAGGGGTGGCATCGCAACCTCCCGCTCCGCCCTGCTCTGTGCATGACAGGGGGCGCGCCCCAACTCCCCAATCAGCCCTGCTCTGAGCCCAACCAGGGGCTGCACCTAGGGATTGGGCCTGCCCTCTGCCACCCAGGAGCGGGCCTAAGCCAGGAGGTCATTATCTCCCAAGGGGTCCCAGACTGTGAGAGGGCACATAGGCCGGGCTGAGGGCCCCCCCCCCCCCCACCGAGTGCACAAATTTTTGTGCACCAAGCCTCTAGTGTTTATATAATACTTTAAAATCCTTTGTCATTTCAACATTCTTGACAGCATTTTTGCCAGTAGATTCCATCCCCAGAAACCATTGTCTCTGCTCATCCATAAGAAGCAACTCTTCATCCACTAAAGTTTTATCATACGATTGCAGCAATTCAGTCATATCTTCAGGCTAATTCTAATTCTCTAACTATTTCTACCTCATCTGCAGTTACTCCTTCCATTGAAGTCTTGAACTCCTCAAAATTATCCTTGAGGATTGGAATAAACTTCTAAACTCTTGTAAATGTTGATATTTTGACTTCTTCTCATTAATCCTATATAATAAATGCCTAATATGCAAATTGTCCCCTCAACTGGGAGTTCGACCGTTTGCTATGACATGCACTGATCACCAGGGGGCAGCATGGAACATGGCGGGCGTTGGTGATGCGGTGCTGGCAGCAGTGGAGGTGCTGCAGACCCTGATGGGCCCTGACAAGAGCTGGACAGAGGTAGGATGGTGGAGCAGGTGAGTGGGCAGCACCAGGCCAAGGCAGGTGCGAGCCACTGGTCGCCAGTCAGGGGCCAATCACCCTGCCGCCAACGGGCTCCCAGGCATGAGGGAGCCGGGCAGGGGCCTAATGCTCCACCGATCCGATTGCAGGGCAACCCGTGGCGCGATCGGGCCCCCATTGGCGGTGACCAGTGGCAGCAGTGGGGGTTGGGGCTGCCACCCTGTTCCCTCAGCACCTGGAAACCAGGTGGTGGCAGGGCGATCAGGCCCTGCAGGTGGTGACCAATGGCAGTGGTGGGGGGCAGGTGGCCGGAAGAAGGGAGGGAGTACCCGGTGGCAGCCGGCAGCCGCTAAGGACCCTACCAGTGCATGAATTTCGTGCACTGGGCCTCTAGTCATAAATGTTCTTAATGGCATCTAAAATGGTGAAGCCTTTCCAGAAAGTTTTCAATTTACTTTGCCCAGATGCATCAGAGAAATCACTACCTATGGCACCCCTAACCTAACAAAATGTATTTCTTTTTTTTTTTTAATCTTTATCTGAGGATATTTTTGCCAACGATTTCTAGAAAGTGGAAAGGGGGGTGGGGGGGGTGGGGAGAGAGAGAAATATTGATGGGAGAGAGACACAACGTTGACTCCTGCACGCACCCCAACAAGGGCTGGGGAACCTGCATCTGAAGTACATGAATCAAACCCAGGACCCTTTGATCCATGGGCTGATGCTCTAACCACTGTACAAAACTGGTCGGGTCACAAAATGTATTTCTTTTTTAAAAAAAATTGATTTCAGAGAGGAAGGGAGAGGGGGAGAGAGATAGAAACATTAATGATGAGAGAGAATCATTGATCAGCTGCCTCCTGCACACCCTCCACCAGGGATCAAGCCTGCAACCCAGGCATGTGCCCTGACCAGGAATCAAACCAGGGACCCTTCAGTCCATAGGCCAATGCTCTATCCACTGAGCCAAACTGGCCAGGGCACAAAATGTATTTCTTAAATAAGGCTTGAAAGTTGAAATTAGCCCTTGATCCATGGGCCACAGAATGAAATTTGTGTTCACAGCCATGAAAACAACATTAATCTGATCGTACACCTCCGTCAAAGCTCGTGGGTGACCAGGTACATTGTCAGGGAGCAGTAATATTTTGAAGAAATCTTTTTTTCTAAGCAGTAGGTCTCAACAGTGGGCTTAAAATAGTCAGTAAACCATTGTTGTTTCTAGAGCACATAGAGTAGATTTAGCATAATTCTAATGGCTCTAGGATTTTTGGAATAGTTAAATGAGCATTGGCTTCAACTGAAAGTCACCAGCTGCACTAACCCCTAACAAGAGAGTCAGCCTGTCCTCTGAAGCTTTAAAGCCAGGCATTGACTTCTCCTCTCTAGCTATGAAACTCCTGGATGGCATCTTTTTCCAATAAAAGGCTGTCTCATCAATACAATCTGTTATTTGGTGTAGCCACCTTCATTAACTAACCTAATCTTCTGAATAACGTGCTGCAGCTTTGACATTGATTGCTTCACCTTGAACTTTCATATAATGGAAACAGCTTCTTTCCTCAAACCTCATGAATTGACCACTGTTAGCTTCAAATTTTTCTTTTATAGCTTCCTCACGTCTCAGGCTTCAGAGAATTCAAGGGAGTTAGGGCTTTGCTCTGAATTAGGCTTATGGCTTAAGGCAGCAGTTCTCAGCCTGTGGGTTGCGACCCTTTTGGCGGTCAAACGACCCTTTCACAGGGGTCGCCTAAGACCA